CGATGTGTATATGAGAAGTAGCACATACATGTAGTCGTGTAGTGACGAAGAATAAGAGAACAGAGGTATAAGGAAGCAGACAGAATTGGACCCATGTACATGTAGGAGTACAAGGACGATAGGAGTTGAAGCGTAGCCGGAGAAAACCAAGTTTTGCTTACCCGGCTATGTTATGAATACATTATATCCGCCGCTCCAAGGGATGCTGGCACATGCGCCGAAAGGGTGACTCCACCCTACCCCATACTCAGACGACTCTCTACCTCGGCCATCCGAGTTGCGCTAATTATACATGAGCTAACCAACCCGGCCGCTCTTTGGAGCAGAATAGCGAGGGCGGCTCAATCTTTCTCTTTCTCTTCCTCATTTCCGTTTGCTCTTGGTCTCGCTCTTTCCTCTCAAGCCTCAGTCTGAAGAGAGGGTTGCAACGATATTCTCTTAGACCTTTAGACGAGAGAGTATCCTGGGTGGAGCTGGAGAACCCCTTGCTTCCTCTATCCTTCAAGTTTCTCGTCGTTCTCTATGTTTTGCTTAATTACGCGGGAGGCGTTAACTAACTTCCCCCCACCAGATGATCATGGACCCAACGCAACCCTTTGCTCATGAAATAGGAGGAGAATCGTCAACTCTCATTGGCTAGCCAATCGTAAAACACATCTTGAGATTTTTATAATAAAATTAAAATGATAAAAACTACTACTTAAATCATACTCCTTCTTTACTTATTCATTTTAATTTATAATTAAAACTTTTTTCATAAATTATCTCAACTTCCTTCATTTCCATGTGCTCTTTATTAACATCCAGGACTTTGTTTTATCAAAACTCACTCCTTTTATTTTATACTACAATTAAACCAAAATTAATTCAAAAGAACTTGGAACACTCGAGGATTCTGATAAAGAAAATATTCAGCTTGAAATTATCAGAAAAAAATCTCAACTGAAAGTGAGTTTTTTTCAAAGGTCGAGAAAGAGACAAGTTAGAAAAGAGAATTAAAAAAAAAGAAAAAAAAATAAGAGTAATTGTGTAAGGAAATACCATAAGACCAATGGTAGTTTATACAATACGCTGGCTTTTCGCGCAGGTCCTATGCAAAATAGCTTGAGTGTGGGGGTAGGCGGCACGAGAGGAGGGTGGCCGAAGACTCTGGAGCACTACGATGAGGCAAACAACCCCTTAGTTCTGCCGTAGCGGCCACAGACGCCCCCACCATGTCGCGATGTTTTTCGTTGTCGATGACGTCGTCGTCGTAATGTCGATAAGAGCGCCACCCGCATCAGGATCGCGTTAAGGACACATGAGAAATACATATTTTTACATTCTTAAATAGTGAACTATTTTTTCATGATACCTACGATATATCATGACAATGAAAACACCTTAATGTATTTATTTGGTGATTTTATGAATATTTAATTATGATGAATGGATAAAAGTGCCAAGGTATACATTAGTATTATTATTATGCCTTTGCATTCTATTCAATGTTTTTCTCCTTTTTGTAACACGAGTTTACTCATTCTTTTAGATGCTCTTGATGTATAATTAAACAATTACTCCCACATCATGCAATCAAGATGAGCTAATCATTAATTAATTGAAGTTTTAGTAATTAATGTAATTATTATTTAATTACAGTAATTAATTAACTGCGAAATTATTTTTATTCTCCTTGACAATTAGCTATTTTATTAAATAAAAAACAAACCATTTAATCAAGATGATTAATCAGAAAACAAAAAGACTTAAAAATTGGTAACATTGATTGAATAAACTCTTCTACAGTGATTGATAATTAATTTCAATTAAATAACGCAAATCTTTTTTTAGAAAATTATCAGTAAATTCATAAATAAAACCGAAATTAGAACATATGTTCAAAGTAATATTTTAGCAGTTGGTTGGAAAATAAATAACGATATATAAAATAATGTTAAATGTAGGAATAAGATAGAGAACATAATCTCAAATAAGTCCTAAATAATAAAAAGACGTTTAATTAATTAGCCACGTCTTCCAATAGTTTGTAACCATCATCATCGCGATAGTGACGCATTATATCACGTGAGCTAGTGTTTGCACATCACCTAGTCCCAATATTAGACTGAGTTATTATTTAATTAGAGATATTAACGACTGTGTTTGTAATTACAAATGTAAATTGAAAATGAATCATAATTACATGCCACTTTTAAATACCCCACTGTCAATTATGTTTCATAACTTCACTATTCATTTAATTTTGTTTAATCTTGACAGTTACATTGTCACTGATTTTCAGTGAAGGAATGAATCAATTTTATTACATCACTAGTATTTTAAAAAAAAAATAATTCCAATCATTTTTCAATGTTGGATGTTTGAAAGGAAACAATAGAATAAATGTTGAATATTTATAGTGTTGTATTTTTTGTTAAGTGTAATTGAGTAAGATTGTTATTAATTAATTATTAAAAATTAAAAATATGACGTAAAAATGTCTGATGGAGCGTTAGTTGCCAATAAATGTCATTTATATTAATTATCTACTTACGAAGCCTCAGGCATTCTCTGAAACAAAAGAGACAGTGAATCCTGAAGTAGCAACAGTGGAAGTGGGACGCAACGAACTACAGACAGTCATTTGTAGCTGATTATTAATTTTGAGGCGAGGCAAAAGATATCCACTCTGGCACATACTCAACCATCTACAATTCTACACACTCAGCTCGTTTTAGAGGTTCGCCTACGCCTCTTATACAAGCGTACATATAAGAATTAAACATCTTCTGACTTTATCTCTGAAGCAGTTAATTCATTTCATAGCTCATAGTCATATAATACATTCATACTTGGTACATACACACATGCTTTTTAATTACTTGAACTTTATAATTTTTATAGTTATCTCATTACTATTCAAAGATTGTTTTATTTTAAAACTATGCTGTTTTTCTATTTTTCTTTTTTTAATTTTTTTTTTTTTTTTAATTACCAACTAAGAATGTTTTATTAATGACGATTGTCATCAATTCAACCATTTGTTATTTACACAACGGTTTACGTCAATTGAATTGATAAAAAATAAATTTCATTATTTACACTTGAATCATTAATTTGTATTTCTATTTGATACAATTATTAATATTCGACTCTAAAGTGTAAAAATTAATTACAATAACTAATAAATTCATTTAATTGAGTGAGTTGATGTTTTATTGAGAATAGTGGTTGCAATAAAATAATTTGAATGATTTTTTTAAGCTAAGAGTAATTAACAACGAAGTGGTAATTATTTAAGAATACTGCAGACAAAAATAATGTGGACAATTTGCTGGCAAATTGAGTGGAGTGCGATAATATCGAAGAGATAAAAATAAATTTTTGTTGCGTCTTTATAAATGATTAAATATCATATATTCTCAATAAGTTTTTTTTAAAATTACTCTTTTTCTCTGAATTCTTCGACCATTTATTCTCTCAACTTGACATGAAGAAGCACATTCTGTATATATGTATATACTTATCGGATTATATCGGCTGGAATTCCGGAATCGAAATTTATGAGAGACGACAGGAGATAAAAATATGCCCGGTGGCTAATTGATTCGCAGCGTTGACGGAGGTCCAAAGTCACTGAGTGTGTCTCTGGGGCGTAAGTGGAAAAGAGATGGAGAGAAAATGGGAGTACATCATACACAGTATTCAACATTACTGCAGTGTGACTCTCTTGATGGTAAAGTGGTAACGAGCTCTTCTCGCGAGGACCTCGTGTGGTAGTACAGACATTCAATGGTTATTACGAGCAACACCACAGGATCTTAAAGAGAAGGAAGATATGCGTTGCTGTAGGTCCAAGATGCTCACGCATATACGTGCCCCGACTCTCTCGGACTTCTTGCTTAATGGTTATAAAAAATGATTCTCGCGCCCAAAGACATGCAAATTTATTAAGAGTCACAGCCAACAAGTGCCTAAAAAAAATTCTCCGACCTCTGAACACATCATTCTCGCCACATACAGCTTTTACATGCATATATTTACGACCTATCTATTAATTACTGGCCATTTAATTGTAATCTTTATTATCTGTCCCATTTGTTTTTTTTTGACGTTTTTATGATGGAAAATTCATTTGAATATCACCAAATCACACTACGATGATGCTTTAGAATATTTTATTCCAATTGTTTAATAACGATAAATTTTTTTAAATTAATTTGTGAATTAACATTTTAATAAATCACTTGTTATATGTTTCTTATTTTTATTCATTAAAATAAACTTTCAAATCAACACTGATGAAAAAATTATTATTTGTTCAAAGTAAATTTTCTTAATGGCTATATATTTATTATTTATTAAAAATAATTATGATAAATATTTTGTTGTATAATTTTTATAATTACTTAACAATTGTTCGCTTCGATTTTTTTTAATTTCATTGTTTTGATTCCATTCAACAATAATTGTTTTTAATTAAAATAATTCACGACCTACTGTAAAAAAATTTATTGTAATATTTCATTGCAATTATTTGTACTAAAAATTTTTTTATCTTTCCCTAAAGTGCACTATTAGCTGACATTATCTATCATTACTTTTTTTATGTCAATAATTTTTTTAAGCAATTTGGCATTAACATTTTTATAAATAATTTTCTCCAATTGCAATGAATTAACACATCATCGATTCATGGGTGAATTTTGCCGTTATTTTGCAGAATAATGATGTGATATTTCAGAGCTGCAGTAAGACATCTACACACTTAAACCTCTTATTTATATTTTATTCCACCTATATTTATATGTATGTAGGTATTATGTAGGGATATATGTATATATGTATTATGTATCTATACATCTATAGTGTGTATATGTAGTTCGATTCGGAGGGAATTGCTTTCGATGTCAAGGAAGATCTTTTTATCCTGCGAATCGTGACTTGAAAATTTCAATTTACTCGCAAGCATGCATTATTTTCACCGGCTGATTGAGCTCTTATCTTTTGTGTTGCAGGACGTGAGGACGTCAGAAGAACGTATAGATGTGTTCTATAAGTTTCGGAGCTGGTAAGTTTGATTATTTGATTTAAGAAAACTACATATAAAAGAGGCGAGAAAAACTCAAGGGGGAAAAAAAGACGTGAAATAAATTTTCACTAACTCTAAATAATAAAAAATAAATTTTGTCATTTAATTTTTTAATAAATTTCAAATTTTTTTCAATCGACATATGAATAACTTGAGGGAATAACATAAAAGAATATAAAGAATCCAGGTATTCTGATTGGCTCGACATAAACAAAAAATATAAGAAAGAAAAAATAGAAAGAAATAAAATGAATAATAAAAAAAATATAAGCACAAAATGCAGAGAGGGTCTGAGCTACCTTCTCTTTCACATAAATACGGATTTAGTCACGCGGTTTACGACCCAAAACGTGTCGAGCGTCGCGTCCGAGCTGCGCCTAAATTATTAAAGTCGTAAACGATCGAAATCGTCGTTAAACAGCGCGTGAAGCTGACAGTGTCCAAGAAACACACTTTGCTATCTTCGTTTTCTTCTCTCAATGCATCCTCTTTTCTCTCTGTGAACTCCGCCACGACGACATATCGTTTTTCTTCAAGTTTCATTGTTAACCCTGAGTATAAAGGTGTGTAAATATAAGTAGAAACACATGTATCCGTTAAACTTCACTTTAAAGTACTTTGAGAAATTTTTTTCAAGTCAATTTTTCATTGAAAAAAATTATTCCCAAGACAGTTTAAACGATTAAGGATTTTTTTTTTTCTATCTATTGAATATAATAATTAAATATATCCTAGAGTGCTGTAAAAATTTTTTTTAGTTATTTATTTTATAGAAAATTCACTTTTATGAAAGTAAAAGCGATTAGATGAGTCATTTTTTCCAACTACTCTCGAATAAAATATATGAACTCTTGAAATACTTTGAAAAATTCTCTAGGTCAATCTTTCATGCTAAAATGATTTTACAATAAGAAAAGTTTGATAGGAAATTCTCTCGAGAACTTCTATTCCCAATCAAAGCTTTTTTACTCTAAATGACTATCATTTACTCCAAAACACAATTGAAAAAAAAGGAATTATTTATCAAAATTTAAGAATTAAACGTTACATTAATAAATAAGGAAAAAAAGATGATTTAAAATTTTTTCCAAGATTTTTGACATATATAACATATTCAATCGCAACCCCACATCGTTTCTCTTCTCTATACTCGTTTATTTTTCCTTACGATTCTTTCGCGAATCTCCACGTCAACAGCAACGTTGTCGTCGCGTCGAAAACGAAAGAACTCGAGCACAAACGATATTGGGGGAGCCACGTCGTCACGTATCGAAAGATATCTACGTACTGGGTGGGTGACTACAAAGAGGCAAAATCGATTTGCAATTTAAATCGATCTCAGTACGTGCCTGCGGCTCATTCGAAACGATGCACCGATGATTTCACTGCTCGCATTCTCGGATATGTGTTCGATAACACACACCATCTACACAGGGTGTGAGCCACTAAGAACTGTATTCTTTCTTCACATCTTTTCGCAACCGTGACATCAACTAATCTACATTTTTCAATCATTTTTGAGACTTTGACTTACTGTGTGTGATTTGGCACCATTTCATTCACATGATTCAATCATTTATTATCTTTAAGCATTTTATTTCATTTATTTTATAACGAGACCATTATTAAAATAATTTTAAAAAAATATTTTAACTGAATAATAATTATTTTAATGATTTATTGGACTGTAAAAAAATTATTTTGGCAATTTAATTCATTTTTTGAGGGGAAAATAATTATTTAGGGTATTCGAATATTGTTGATCTTCATCAGATGGATTCAAATCATAAACTCTGAAGTTTACTTTAAATTTCTCAAGTATAGTAAACTCTATTTCCAACACAATAGTTACTTTAAGAATGTTTACAAGTGTTTAAATTTTCTACAACGTTAAAAATAAGGAATAATGCACTTAAGTGTTGCGAAATAAAACACTCTAATACAAAGATTTGCGGTGTAATCAATCGAGCATTAGTACACTTATCTACAACATTTTGTTTCAACACAAAGTAATGAAATCACTCAATTTTTAACTGTAAAAAATTTTTCAGAATCGTTATGATCGTTATTACAATCTAGATTTTTATGAAAAAATTTAATTATAAAATTCCAGGATTCTTTTTCTTTGAGAGAAAAAAAAATTATATGAAATTTATTTCTTACTTATTTACCATCAAATAAAAATAATTTTTTACTTTATTCAAATCAAATAGCATTAAAATAATCTAAAAGATGAAAACAAAATACTTTCTAGATACAAAAGATGCTTATTCCATCATTAGTAAATAAAAACCGAAAAATTCTTCAACAAAGAGAAAAATTGCAGAGCTGTTTTCTTGTTCAAGCCGACTCTTGCAAACTAATGCCACCCCTTATGCATTTTAGTATCGTTTCATCCCTCGTCCACATGCATTTATATATAGATATATCGTAAGTCTATGGGTATTTGCAACTGTCGTACATTTGAGTATCTTCTTTTTTACCGCCCCCTATTCGCCCTGATCTTCTTTTCACTCGGCCATTCTTCATGTTTCCCCTTTTTCTACTTCTTTAACTCACCCCTAGCCATCGCCAATATTTCCCTATCGATTGATCAGAACCCAAGACTGCTGGACTTGCTTTTTCTCGTACTCTCCACTTGCTTGCTCTTTTCTCCCTTCCCCTGTCTTACTCAGTGTCCCAGCCACCTGAGCTCATCCCTGGCCTTTTCTATATAGTTCTCTTATTATTTCGCTCTTTGCCAAAGCTACCCCTTTTTCAATTCTGATTTCTTTTTCTTCTTTTTTATTCCAGCCATTCACGTTCATTTATCCGTCTTTTGTCATTCTTTCCATATGTTTTCTTTCTCTGATTGTGAGCTAAATATGATTATTGAAGTTTTTTATATAAAAAGACAATTAGAAAATACTTTTAAGTAGTTCTTTTTAAACTAAATTAGCTTTGATAAAATAACTTTTAGTTAAAATTTTTTTAAAAAATATTTAAAGTCATCTGCTGCTTTATAAAGTTGGAAAAAAGCCAATAATTTATTATGATAAATGAAGAAACATATTGAGAAATTAATTTTGTTACTGAGAAATAGGAAAGTATTCATTTCCATGTTGTAATAGAAAATTAAAAAAGTGATGTAAATAGGTAAAATCAATTTAAATGAAAATTACAAGTCCTTTATAACGTTCCAAGTAATCACTTAAATAACTTCTAACCCAAATTATCTACGATTATGTATATAAAATTCTCCAACTCATTGATAAAATTGATTTGATCCAATTGTTCCCACGTATATTAATTCCAAGGTTTCTGTTAAGTCGATAAAAAGAGATCGGAACAAACCTCGATATCCAAGAATCTAATCACACTTTATTACTTTCAATAAGTTTTTTCATTATCAGCGTCAAATTAAAATAACTAAAATTCTAGAGATAAAAAAAACTTGATTTTTCAAGTTGAATTGTTCTGATATTTGCTCTGAAGCAATCACTTTTATGTCAAACGTAACATGTGCGAATAAATCAAGCAAAGAAAAATCACAAACACGATTATTTGAAAGCTTTTGGATCTAATCTCATTCGGAATAAAATCTATCATTATACTAAGAATAAAATTGAATTAATTTCGAGTATGATATTTGATGAATTATGATTATTCAAGTGAATTGTTTAAAGTAATAAAATGTTCAACTCAATCTCTATCCTCCAATATACAATAACAATCATTTCTCCAAGCACAATTGTCAGTTGGAATCATCATGATAGCATAATATGATTGAATAAATCTTTTCAGACGATCGAACTGAAAACTGTAGCAAGAATTTCTCAATTTTACAATAGTATTTTTTTTATCAACAACTCTAGTATGATGAAAAAACCTATTTTAAATCCATTAAAACTGGAAAAATGATGATATAATTTGATTATTAAACAGCATTTTCAGTTTAGTTGAAATCAAATGTTGATTGTAGCATGTGAAAAAATCAGTCGAGTTGTAATTGAACAAGGCTAAACCACGCGACCGTTATATCCGTATGACAACGCGGTAATGTAATTATGGTAATGACTGTTGTTCGTTACGTGAATAATCCATCGTTGGCGACTCGTTGGCTCAACTGAGCTTGGGCGACATAATCTCACAAAGTGAAATATTCGCAAACAACATGTAAGACTATGTATTTTCATGTTCATATTGTAAACTCAATGAGATTTAATGTAAAAAGAATACCTGCACGCGTTTCGTGAGAATCGACGTTTTAAAATCACCATCCCCCGTACCTCAGCAAGCCTTGAAGAAGACCACGTCGCCTATAATGCTCGTTACTAAAATAAAAATCGGCTAGTTCGAACAAGCCTTAGCCACGCGACCATTACTGCATCGCAGGTTAATCAAATTATGGTAATGACCGACTTGTCTACTGTGTATTATATATACGTCCATCATTATTCAACGTGACCAACGAGATTGTTAATTTCGACAAACATCTTCGATATCCAAACCATTTTTATTTAGCCTACATGCACGAAAATATGCTATAAACATTCAATTATTTCTCAACTACCCTTTATTCATTCGTTTACAACTATTTTTCAAACATTCATCATCATTATGATCCTCTTTGCAAATTATTTTCAACTGTTTTGTGGTAATAAATTTTTGTTTGAATTTAAATTCAATGAGTCTCTTGCATTTTTAGGTTGGTTACAGCTTTAAATGGAACAGTGGGTTGAGAGCCTCTTCGTCTTTAGGATGTCAGAATTGCAACATCTCACTTTCGATACTCTCACGTTAATTCGAATCATTAAAAATTTCGAACAGATATTTTTAAAAATGGGAAGTCATTAATTAAATTTAAAACATTTCTTTTTTCTTAATTTATTTTTGGATTAAAAAATAATTATTTTAATTAATTTATTCATCAGAATCAATATTCTGGCTTAAAATAATTATTTAATTACTTTCTAAATATAAATCAAGTTAATCATGAT